TCAAACTTTTTTACATTTTAATCTGGACTACAACATGCCCTAGATATTGTTTGAAAGTGTTTTGATTCTTTATTGTTCGGTCACACTTTACATCAGGGCTTCATTAGCTAACATGAGTTAATTCATTAGTAAACAAACTGTCGATGAAAAATTCTTCTAAACATTCATTAATCTTAGGTAAGTAATTCCAATATTTAATAGCACATTGTTAAAATCAAAAGTTGCAACTGTGTTTTTTAATGAGCTAACATGAACTAAGACTTGTATTTTTTAACAAAGATTAATAACTTCTGTAGCAAATGTATCTATTGCTCATTGTGAATGTTAATGCATTAACTAAGGTTAACTAATGAGGTCTTATTGTAAAGTGATACCTATTGGTCTTTACAATTCTTTTGCACTTTAATCTGTGTAAAACTTTTAACTTTATACATTTTTTGTATATTGCTTTATTGTATTTAAATGTTCAGTTATTTTTGTGATAAGAAAAAAGGTATTAAACCTGTTATACTATGACAACACTTTTTTGCAACTAAATTTCAATATCGTGATAATACCGTATACCGTGATACAAGCATTAGCAATTAATCGCACCATTAAAATTTGATATCGGCATATCCCTAATACATGATGCTGTTTTGTTTATAGTTGTTTAAGCAACTTTATTAATTATAATTGGTTTATAAACATTATTTTAAACATTATGCACTTTTTTCACAGATAGACGTGTTGTTTTATTGCTTTGAATAAATGTGCATTAGTAATATTTTGCTCGATGCGCCTTCTTGTGGCCTCAGAAGAGAAGCCAAAAGCTTTTTTTCACCCTACCTGAAATTATACCTCTTAAATTTGAATATCGATAATATTTAAGTGCAAAGTTCAAATGTAGTTTTTCAGCCATTTTGACAGCCCTGATTGCCATTGTTTCAATATACAAGATCTCACCTGTGACCTGATCCACGAGGATCCTGGAGGTGATGATGCGGCCGTACTGAGAGAAGAGCTGCTCCAGCTCTTTCTGGGTCATGGTTTTAGGAAGACCGCTCACGTACAGGTTAGCGTCACGAATGGAGGCCGAACTCGGTCGAGCAAACGACACCTACTCACAAACACAAACTTAGCGCACGTCAACACACGAGCGGTATCTCTGACAGCAGCCTCACTTCAGATAGACCTTACCTTAATTGTTTTAGTCTGCAGTCGGAGACCATTTAAAGTGTTGATGGCTTTCTCTGCATCTTTGGGCTCTACATAGTTCACAAAGCCATAACCCAGACTCTGACCTAAACACACAAACACTTAGGTGAGGATTTATGAGCACTGCAGTGCATTATGGATCTGACCATCACAGTATCTAACACACAGGAGGTACGCTGTGATGTGCACACAGATCTGGGAGTTGAGGTGAGCTGCTGATGGTGACGTGTATAAAACCTCCATAAGAGAAGCATCAGGGTTACTGCAGACTCCAGGGTTACTGCAGACTCAAGTATTTTTAGCAAATTATTCAACAGATCTAACTAATTTGTTCAGAGCTTTTTTTCTGCAGGTGGACAAATGAGTCTAAAATTATAAAGGGAACAGAAATGATTCACTCAAGATTTATTTAAAAACAGTTGATTAATGATTGACCAATATATTGGCCGATATGTGGAATTTATGCGATTATTTGGCAGATAAGATTTTCTGTTAGGATCATAAGCGTCAAAAGTGGGCCTTTTTTGACACTACTAAGAACTCAAGTTGCATTTTTTAATTTACTGTAACTTGTCAATTTTTTAAGCATTAAACAAAATCTTTTGAAATCTTTCAAAGAATCTTTTGCTTATGCAGCTGTTAGATTCTCTGAAGTGTGCATTTGTAGACCGTCTAAAAACACGAGTACTTTGTGCATGATCCGTCCGTGCAAACTGGAGCTTTACATCATTTTAAACTATGCTGCGCTACATTCAGTTTGCCCCTATTTTTTTATATTTACTGTGTACTGTATATAAAAAGTTACCATTACCTGTTTTTTATTTGAGAAAATACAATGCAGTGCACAGAGACATGTCCACTTTAGTCATGTTTTTAACAATTTCTTCATTTGTGAAATGCAGTAACAGCATTACAGAATCAAGAAGTTGCTATCTGAAATATAATTTATATTTGAATTTCGGGGTGGGCGATATACCACTAGACAATTAACTGGTAGAAATTTGTCAACCAGTAGAAATTTTGGACTACTATTTCTATCATGCTCATGTGATGTTGCTGTGCTGCGTCTTCATGAAAACATATCGTTTGCGTGCGTTTTTAAGCATTGTGGTTTAAAAACAAACATAATCAGCAGCAAAAGATAACTCATGTTACTCTGAGCATTGTCAGATAGGCGCGCGCACATGAAGACGCTGCTCATAGAGCACGGGTGTACTGAAGCAAACAATGCGGGCAGCTCTTAAAGTGACAGCAGTCTAATATTCCTGCTGTCTGTAATTCATGTTAATCAAACCACAAAAGAGATAATCTCTCACTGCTCTTGACTAAATCACTTTTTAGTTTTTTGTCCTATTGCTTGTAATTAGATTCTTATTCTTATTTCATCACTGACCATTTACTTGTCTTCTGTGAGCTTGTTTTTTTTTAAATTTAGGCTAGTATTAGTTTGTGATATTGACACTCGTGACAATTATAAAATTTCAGCGATGTAAAAAAGAAAGACCTTATTTAAAAAGTAACTATTGTGATATATATCGTAACTATATTGTGATATATATCGTTACCGTGAAATAAAATTACTCATATCGTCTACCCCAACTGTATTTTTTTTTCCTTTTGATTAATTTTCAAATAATGTATTTCTAATTCTGCTAATTGCAGCATTTATTTATTTTTTACTATCCTTCAGTTTAATAGTGTGATATTATCAGCTTTAAATACCAGCCATTGGCCATTATGTTTTTGAATAAAACTATATTGTGATATATATCGTAACTATATTGTGATATATATCGTTACCGTGAAATAAAATTACTCATATCGTCTACCCCAACTGTATTTTTTTTTCCTTTTGATTCATTTTCAAATAATGTATTTCTAATTCTGCTAATTGCAGCATTTATTTATTTTTTACTATCCTTCAGTTTAATAGTGTGATATTATCAGCTTTAAATACCAGCCATTGGCCATTATGTTTTTGAATATCATCAATAAATCAATCAATCATAAAAGCCCTATTGGTCAAAAATCATTAGAGACCACCATGAATACCAGTGATTTTGTCCCGCACAAGTTTGCAGGACTCAATCTCTCCGATGCTGCCGAACAGACTCTTGAGCTCCTCCTGCGTCATGTTCTGTGGCAGGTAGTTCACGATCAGGTTGGTTTTACTGTCCTCGGTACCGTTGGGCATCTCCACAGGTGACGTGCAGTTGTTAGAGACGCTGTTGGGACCGTTGTTGGATGTACAGCTCAGCCCATTGGACAGCTGCGTCTCCATGGCAGCGATCACCTGCTATAGATGCAAACACACAGTAAGTGACAAAATCAGGAACACTTCAGATTATTTAAAATGTAGAATATAGTCATGTGTGACCCTGGACCACAAAACCAGTCATAAGCGTACATTTTTGGAATTTGTGATTTATACATCACCCGAAAGCTGAATAAATAAGCTTTCCATTGATGTATGGTTTGTTAGGATAGGACAATATTTGGCCGAGATACAACTATTTGAAAATCTGGAGTCTAAGGTTGCAAAATCAAAATATTGAGAAAATGGCCTTTAAAGTTGTCCAAATTAAGTTCTTAGCAATGCATATTACTAATCAAAAATTAAGTTGATATATTTACGGTAGGAAATTTACAAAATATCTTCATGGATCATGATCTTAATATCCTAATGATTTTTGGCATAAAAGAAATATGGATAATTTTAACCCATACAATGTATTGTTGGCTATTACTACAAATATACCTGTGCTACTTATGACTGCTTTTGTGCTCCAGGGTCACATATAATAGTAATAATCTGTTCACAGTCTGTTTGTTTTAAATACATGTTTTGATTTTAGCATATCAGTTACAAAATCTCTATTCTGCTTGCGCACGTGAAAGCAATTCTCTCTGCTAATTCCACAAATTATACAAAGAATTATGATGTGGTACATTAGGGAAAGGTGAATTTAAATTAAATCAAATTATTTGATTCATAAACGATTCATTCAAATTTTTTTTTAAGTCCCTAAAAGAGTGATTTGTGCACAAATCCAACTACACTGTTTCCTCAGTGTGTCTTTGATTCACTAAACAGAATCCGTTCAGAAGAGTAATTTGCATTACAGGTCCGACATGGCCACCGAGCTGATCGCAGTCAGTGCTTGTTTATACCAGCTGTGCCGGTTTCAGAAGTGTCTCTCCGCACTGCTTCGCTTCAGATACATGCCTACATCTCCCTTCTATTGAAAATAATGGCTAGTGCAGTAGCCGACCTCATACGTCATTCCCCCGGAACTGCTTCTGTGTACAACTGCTGGCGCAAGCTAGATTAAAGTGATTATTACGTTTTGAATATGGATATTTTAACATCATATGACCCCTTTAAGTGAACTTTTCATCAAATCAGTATCAAATTTGCAATCGTGCTGATATTTGGAGAAAAAAGAAAAAAAGAAAAAAAAAAAAAGTACTTCGTTTTTGCGATATTTAAACAACAATTATGATGTTAATTATGGTAGATGATATAAATTGCACACCCCTAACCCTCCCCCTAGTGGCCGGTGTCAAGTATCATACTACAACATTTACTACAATATTTTATAATCAAAACTTTTTCCAATCATGGCAAAACATTGTTGGAAAGGTGTGATTCTCAAGATTACATATCTGGTGGTTATTTGTGATGGAAGTAATATTTTGACAGGAATTTATAGATTTGTGATGGGAAAATGCATTTTTTTTTTAAATCAATGGAGTTAAGGTGTCACCTGGTGGTTATTTTTGGTACACCGCCTAAACAAAATCTCACGGGGAACCTCAATTTTCGTAATATCAACTTCAAATTTTGAACATATCATTAGACATACAGCTTTGATTTTATAGCAATTTTACGTTCAAAATATTTTGTAAATTATTTATTTTATAAAAAAGTAACTGTTTGGTTTTATTTTGTCTTGATTTTTTACAATTTTGTTTAATTTATATTGCTTTCCATGTTCAAGGATGTTGTATTGTTTAAATTTTAAGGTACTCTGCACAAATAATACTATATTTAAAGGAAAATCCATGGGTGTGCATTACAAGAATTGAATGAATGCCACGGAGGCAAGAAACCAGTCATTTTGGCAACAGTTCTTTAGATATAGCATTCTGCACACTTTAAATCAGACACAGAGACGTAGTTTGAAAGGATAGCATGTATTTGAATGAATTAACAGAGAGAGAAAAAGATTGTGTGTGTGAGTATTACCTGCATCTGTGCAGCGTATCTCTAATAATAGTTAAGCACAAGTTTACTTAAACAGACCAATAGTGACAGCTTGATTTATTTGATCTTGTTCAAATTTGTTTTTTTCTTTATGTTTGAAATACGTATTGAAAAAGGGCCATACTTTTGGGAACAAGGATGCATAATTGCAAACCTCACCTGCTCATTTCATATCCTTTCACTGATGCATGGAACAACAAATTTGACTCATTTTAGGTGCCGTACAGTAGTATATTACTCTGTTGATATACTATATATCAGGAGTTTTCAAACTGGGGTCCATGACCCATAGCCAGGGGGTCCATAAAATAATTTGCTATACCATATTTTCCAGACTACAAGTCGCTGAATCTGAATTTGAATCATGCTATGATTCATATTCCAAAGTAGGGTTGCAAAGGGGTGGACAATTTCCGGTAAGTTTCCAGAAACTTTCCAAAAATCCCTGGAATTTTCCAAAAAATCCTGGAAAGTTTCCAAAATTTCTGGAATGTTTCCGAAATTTACTGGAAATTTTCCACCTTTTCGCAACACTATTACAAAGTGACTTATATCAGGGATCTCCAAAATTTTAGACCACAGACCGGCTACGTTTTGGAAATATTCTCGTGGATTGGCTGGTATCTATTGGTATTGGCTGCTATATATTGGTATACATTGTGGTTTTTGAATCACGGATCGCATGGCTTTTCAGATAAGCAAGAACAAAAAATATTTAAAGCACAGAGAATGAGAACGCTGAGAAGGGTTTTTTTGGCAATTGTATGTGTATGTAAGGAGACGTGAAAGAGGAATCAACTGTATTCGTGCGCTGTCTGAAACGCGTGCGCGCTTTGGCTGTGTGCAAGAGCAGCGCATCAGTAATGAATTGAGTTCTCATTCTTTTCTTCTTCTTGTGGTTGAAAATCAGATTAATTTGTAGTGACACCTTAGTTTTTTTGGGTGTTATCCCATAGAATTGTCACTACTGAAACATGTCATCGTTGTTTCGGTACGGTAATGACAAAAGGGAACACATAATCCTCATATTTGGGGGAAATACAATTTTTGTACAGTTTTGCAATTTTTTTGTATTTTACTATGTTTTAGTAGTGTTTTAGTACGCAAGTTAAAATTCTGTAATGTGATGTGGTTGCTACCAAAGCATTACTGTCACTACAGAAAATGTGCAGTCACTACCGAAACATGGGATGTTTTGTCAAAAATAAAGTATACTGAATTATCAACTAAGATGTTATGATAGTTTTTGGTTCAATGTATAATCAAACTAATGAATCCTTAACTTTGAAATCAGTATGATCAAACTTTTTGCCTTTTACAAAGAAAAATTGGATTTAAAATGCAACAAATCTCATAAATTACAATTGAAATAGTTAATGTAACTTATTGATTTACCTCTGAAGAAATGTTAATAAAATAGCAAAAAAGATATAATTACAACTAGATGTAAGCAAAATCTTAATAGGTCAATATAACCCTTCTAATTAAATAATTATTACTGTTTCGGTAGTGACAAATTTGGGCAACTCAAGCGAGCGGTCGAGCACTTTTTCACCACGTTTCTGCCATTTTACAAAATATACCGTTAAGGAGGTCTAGAAAATGAAACCTGATTAATTTTTTTTTATCTCAAATTTTAACGTCACTTGCAGCCAGTGTTTGAAGTGAGGCGTCACGTCAATACATTCCTGGTTTTGTCGCACGGCTTTTCTGAAACAATATATTTTTGCTGCAGTGCCACCCAGTGGATATAATTGCCATTACACACTCTATTCAATGAGGGGGTATAAGGACAAATGGCCAAAAATATGGTTTGGCGAGTTTTAATTTCAGTCATTTGATCACAAAAAAATGTCAACCGTGCTTTTACAATGCACGTTAAAGGGTTAAATAATAGTTTAGCAACCAAATGTTACATGCAACGTTTCATTCATGGAAACGATTCCGAAAGAGAGGTATGCAAGTAGAGCTGCACGATTATGACAAAAATCATAATTGTTGATTATTCCCTTGAAATTGTAAAAATTTTTGGTAAAATAAGTTTCCAACTCTGATTTTGGACCAATTCTGTAGAATGGCCCATACACATTTTTCCCAGAACGTTCTAGCATTGCAAACGTGCCATCGCAACCTCTTCATCATCAAACTAAATGAGACAGCTAAACATACAAAAGGTCTTTGGTTACTCCGTTTAACTTCTCTGTTGTACAATATATAGTTTTTGCCAGTCAGTGTGCATCGCCATGCCATTTCTTTCAAACACATTTTTGCTTATGTGAAGGATGCGGTTTTAAAAGTAGATATTGGGACATGAAAATACAAATATATATATTAT